ATGTCTTATAATAATAATTATTATAATTTTAATTATTGTAATAATAATAATATTACATCATATTATAATAATAACATTACTAAACAGAATTAATCATAATAATATCATTAAACAATGCAGTAGCAAGTAAAATAAGTAGTTTCGAAACTCGAATGTTGAGCGGTCTATGGAATGTCACCCCGTCCATCATCTCTATGTTCAGGCATAATTAAATACATGTATATCTTAAAATCAAATAATACCACACAATGTTACTTAAAAAAAATTGTCTTAATTTTAAAAACATTCAATCCCCCGGGGGCGTGGAAAAAATTATTTTTAAAAATTAAAATAAAACAGCTTATACAAATACCCTTCTCACAACTTTTTTTTAACTAAGTGAGATTTCCAAAAATAATTATTTCAGCCCAGCCTATCGAATTTCTAATTTTTGCCGCGCCCCCGGGGGATTGAATGTTTTTAATTTTTTTTTAACTTACATTTTGAATTTGGCATATTAAAAAACTATAAGGTATTAACTCACTAGTAACACAAAAAAAATCTTGTTAATATATTTTAATTTTAAGCCCCTCCCCAAAGCTTTTAAAGTTCTAATATGCAGCTCTTCGATTAAATAAAAAGCCGTGGTGCGCGGCGTAAAATTAAAATATATAAATATTTTTTTTTGTGTGTCTTAAGTAAGTTAATACCTAATATTTTTTAATATGCCAAATTCAAAAATTAACTTAAAAAATATTTTTATTGAATTTTGAGGAATTTCAAAAAAATAAAAGTTCCCGGGAATTTTTTGAATTTAGTGATTTTTTTATGTTCACTGAAATTTTTGTACTAAAATTGTAAAACTTTTTGTGGCCTAGTTTACACAATAGATTTGGTCAATAAGTAGGGAATCAAGTTGGAAATTAGTAAAATTAGGGTAATTAGTAGGGAATTATAATTCCTCTATAGAGGAATTACTAGGTATTAGTAGCAATCCTGGGAATTAGTGTACACATTTTCTTTTGCGGTTTACCCCGAGGGAAATTTTGGGGTACAATCTGTAGGAATTAGTAAGGAATTAGAGGAATTTGGGGAATTACTCGGTAAATTAGTAAGCAAATAGTGGAATTAGTGGGGAATTAGAAAGAAATTAGAAGAAAATTGATGTCTCGTTTAGCACTTGAATATAAGGAAAAAAACAAAGAAACCGGAAGTTACAGAGCTACTCCATTCTTTGCCAGTTCCAGATTGGGAGTAGTACCACTGCAGCATTGAAAAAAATAAAGAATGTTGTGTACAGCACACCAAATAGTACTCGTTTCCTAAAACCAGGAATACATCTGCCAATTGGGAAATACACTGTCTTCTCTGGTCATCTCAGGGAATTAATTTTAAAGTTTCAAAAAGACAAACATCTCCTGACAGATTCGGATCTCAAAAGTGAAGACAAGATGAATTTTGCATCCGCAGAAAAAATGTGCAGTTTGATAGTAATTGAACGACTGAATAAGGAAATTCCACAAATTAAATAGAGCGTGGCGTATCTCAAGCTAATGTACTACATCGAATCGTCGGGACGCGTCGTTCTTAAATTCTGTGTTGCATACTAGATTATATCGCATCTGGTATGTTGTATTTTTTACTAGTAAGAATCTGGAAAGCCTGTGTTAAAGAACAAAAAAAATATAAAATAACAGACAACTTTTTGACCAGTAATTGTAACCTTTGCATCGAAACGCCCATGCTTTGATTAAACTAATACTGAAGCTTAACAGCGGTGAGTTAAAACCATATATGTTCATCACTGGCATTTTTGGTAGCCAAGCATGTGAATCCTTATTTCGGGCCGCCAGATCCATGACTTCTACGTATTCAACAATAATACATTTTAGTATAAAGGATATACTGAACCGAATTGAGAGAATTAAGACAACTGATACCATAAACGATCTGAGGGGGACTTTTACTTTTACGTGAAGAAGAAATTTTAAATTTGGATATCAAATCTACAGTTAAAAAAGCTCTACAAAATGTCATAGAGGACATGAAACATCTTGGAATTAATGCAAAAGAAAACGATTGTAAATATATGCAGGTAGGTACCGTTAATAAGACGGAAACAAAATATTGAAATTACACAGGATAATGAAGACGCCGACGAAGACAACGCTGAAATTGTCGAAAACCCCGAAGAAAATTGGCAAAAACAAATATTAGTAATGAGGACGATAAAGTTATGGATGAAGTTATGGACTTAATTTCAAACGAGATTTCTAATGAAGATCGCGAATGTGATACTTTGGAAACGAGTTGTATAAGTTTAAAAGACTTTTCTAAAAAAGTGCACAGTGCATCGGAAAAACACCGTACCTATATAATATTATGTATTCAATTATTAAAAAATCATCGTACTGCTGGCTTTTAGATCAGTCCGACGGTAGAGTAAGTACTGGCCGATTAAAAAGATTTATAGGCGGTACAAGGAAAACACCGAAGAAAACACCTTGCAAAAATTCCAAGTCGACCTTGACTATAAACAGAAGCTATGCATGGATCAAGCTAGTAGCACAAGCACTGTATCATCCTCCGACTCTATCGTGATGGAACTCGACGACTCCGATGATTTGGAGGAGTTTTCAGATGAGATCTTGTATAAATCAGAAAATGTATCGAAATTTGCCGGACTCGAGATACACTAGAAAACTATTATGCGGTTTTCTATGACCAATCGTGAGCTTTGCTGCACGAGCGAGGCGAATGTAGAACACACTATTTAGAAATCGCCGACTTTCGCTGCCCTTTAAGAGAGAAAAATTGTTAATATTTAAGTTAATTCATAAACTAAAATATACCAAACTAAACACAATAATTGGCTTAATTAATAATATTAATTATTAAAGAACTTATTTTAAGCGAAAGTCGAATTTATGCTGCTAGTGTCATGAAAAAGCATTGATTAATATAATACTTTTCTTTACTATTTCTCTTAGTAAAGTAAGTATGCTATTTTTCATTAAGAATACGAACAAATATACCCTTCAAAAAGAATTACTATAGTAATTATTACTATAATATTAATGGTAATTATTAATGTTAAAATGTATAGCAAGAAAAAAATAGAAACTAAAACCTTGAAGGTTTAAAAAATAATAGGGATATTTAAAATTTAATATAAAATTAATTAAAACTTTTTAAACCTCACATTCCTAATACAGACATTATTTTATAAACATGCAAAATATCAATATTAAAAATTACATAGAAGAAAAATCACATGTTAAAAATTCATTTACATCTTATTAAAGTTTACTCGCTAAATACCGTATTTCTAGGAGGCGCAATAAGGTCGCAAAATGTAATGACGCAATATTGTATTACGGATATGTATATATATATACATATACATAAATATACATCCTTAGTACAATATTGCGTGACGCAATATTATATCAAGATTAAAATGAGTTGATAATGTAGTGACTTTTGAAAAAAAAGTGTATATCTTATTTTTTAAGATAAAAAAAATCTGACCAGATTTTTGGAATCAGCAAAAAAAAGTACGCCAATATACTCTTCTATATTTTCGCTAAATACCGTATTTCTAGTAGACGCAATAAGGTCGCGAATTGTAATGACGCAATATTGTATTAGGGATGTATATATATATATATATATATATATATATCAGTGGCGGCTGGTGGATTTTAAGTATACCAATATCTCAGTTATTAGACATGGGACCCACACCAAATTTATAATAGTTTATATTGACATTAAATAAACAAGTTCGGCGCAAACAGAATTTAAATTGAAGTTTGCGAAAAAAAGTTAGTTTTTCCTGTCGCCTACCCTGCCTCCAGGCCCCCCTATTTGAGATAATTCAAATTAAAGTGGTGCAATTTATTATCCACTATAATTTATCGACAAATTTAAAATTTTATTTAAAAAATCCAAATATTACAGTTTTTATACCATTTTAAATATTTTTTTATTTTAATAAAATAAATAATAAAAATTTAAAATCAAATAAAATCTGTAATATTTGGATTTTTTGAATAAAATTTTAAATTTGTCGATAAATTATAGTAGATAATAAATTGCACCACTTTAATTTGAATTATCTCAAATAGGGGGGCCTGGAGGCAGGGTAGGCGACAGGAAAAACTAACTTTTTTTCGCAAACTTCAATTTAAATTCTGTTTGCGCCGAACTTGTTTATTTAATGTCAATATAAACTATTATAAATTTGGTGTGGGTCCCATGTCTAATAACTGAGATATTGGTATACTTAAAATCCACCAGCCGCCACTGATATATATATATATACGGTTTTTTGAGTACCAGGGATAGACGCAGGATGAATTGTTCTAGTAGAAAATGCCTTAAACCAAAAATCGCAAAATTTTTGGTTACGGCGTTTTATTAAGCACGGCAGAGTATCATTTATACTATAATCATTATTATAATTTATAAGTGTTATTTATTTTTGTTGTTTTACAGAAATATAAAAGATTTTATTTGATTGTTTTTTTTCACATTTAAATTTGGAGGTTTCTAAAATTAAAATGGCGGTTAAAAGCAGGTATTTTCATTCGCGCATGCAGGTAATGCTGACATATGGCTCCGGCAGCACTGCACATGGTGTTTGTGCATTGTTTTTAAAATTTAAATATGCTTTTTCTATGATTTAAACTACCTGTCATATTTGTTAGGTTAAGTTTAAGTTTGTTTTCTTATAAATACTGTGAGTAAATAGTGACAGTGAATAATTTTAAATATGGTTAGTGATATAAGAAAATGCGTTGTCCCTTACTGCAAAAAAGTGCAAGATAAACGGCATTATTTTCCAACTATGGAATCTAAACTAGACATTTTTAACATGTGGGTAAAAAAATATAAACATCCAAATTAAACCAGATGAGTAAAGAGGAAATAATTAAAAAACGATATGTATTGTGTCACAATCACATATTTAGATATAAATCAAAAAAGGAGTGTGTCGTGACCACAGAAGAAGTCTATCAGTAGATGGCATCTACTAGATGCTGTTCCAACTTTAAATCTCCCAAGTAAGTTTGTTTTTTTTTCTTAAATTTTAAGTCTTAAAGTGTTAGTATTTAGGTAAGGTTTACCAAAACTAATGTTACACTAGTTCGATAATTTATTTATTATCCATTCATACTGATATTCATGGAAGAGCTTGAAGTGAAAGACTTAATTCCTAATAAAATACGGAATGAATGATGAAAGGTAATTATTTTAGTAGGTACTATTTTTTTTTATTTGTTTTCTTCATGTAATGCATACCACAGATGATAAACTTGGACCACTGATGATGGACAAAAACAGTTAATGAAACAGTTTAAAAGAGGTAAGAACGATTTTAGTACAAAATAAGTACTAATTGGATTTTGTTTTATCATGTATGATAAACTTGAGCTACTGGACTACCTAATACCAATTTTTTTAATGAAGAAGGAAAAACTCTGGAAGTAATAAATATTTTTTAATAAATAATGCCTAGTTTTTACTAGTTTTTTATACTACTTAATGTAATAAACTAATAAATAAGTTTTGAAAACTTTTGATAATAATATGCAGGTTTCTTTGTCACTTTTTTTAAATATGCATGCACAGCTGTGCAATATCTAGATATTGTTTTGTTTTTTTTATTTAAAAATATTTAATAATAATAATTAACCATAGAAATAATAACATACCTAAATATATTTTGGTTTATTCATTCCCTCATGCACATGTTTATTTATTACAAACTTATTAATGTACTATTTTTTTGAAGTAACCTTTATTTTAATTTTATTTTATTATATAATAAATAATATATTTGTTTAATAAACGTTTATTTTCAACATTTTATTGAATTTTCTTTATAAATACTAATTAACCCTATTAATGAAAGGGAAATTTAGGTATTTATAGCAAGAACTTACTTTTTTAAGGCTTTTTTGGAATCAATGTAATATAATATATATATATATATGTTTTGTGTAGCCCACTCAGTCACGGCCACTGCCTAAATTATTTACGAAATAGTGCTGTCAAATTCAAAGCCTAAAATATGCAACATCATGCTAATGTTTTTGCTTACCTACATTGTTTCCAACGACAAATAAAAATGCCTTAGGCATGCATATCTTGGGAAAAACTCGAGATAAACTCCCACATGATGTTTTACAGAACTGCTTTTAATCATATTTATATTATGTGCAAGTTGGTATTTTCTTTGCAATATTTATAACATAAATTTTGATATTATACTCACAACCTACACGCTTGAAATAATAATTTTTAAAACAGTATATATCTCTAGAGTAAATTTAAAAGTAAATAAATACCTTTAGAAAATTTAAAATAGATTGAGGACCCTAAATACCAAAAATAGCATGACATATCTCCGCATGATCTTTTTCCCCTTTGTCTTAGGTGTAAAAGATTTAAAACATCATACATACCCTTGTTATGAACTAACTGAACCATAGGGGTATTCCATTTATTAGCCACCAATGAGAGCATCTCATATACTCTAATTTTATTTCTTTTTTAACTGTAAATAGACATGGACCTAAGAAGTGAAAAAACTCCCCTTTTCTTTTCTCCCCCTATCACCTATTTATACAGGGCTACGCAAAAGTTACTATGCAAACCTAACTTAAAATTTTTTTTCTTTTTTTGCTAATACAGCTATCGACATTAAACAAACTTTTAATTGTTAAGAAAATATTTCTCTTTTAAACCATATAGGACACATTTAGTTATTGATGCCCAATGGTCTTTGGGAATTTTTTTAAAAATGCAATTTTTTGGCAAAATTGTCTAATTTTATAAATGCATATATTCTTAGAACAACTTGCCAGCAAAATTTTTTTAATGTAGTTTGTTACCATAGATCTTACTCTATATAAAAGCAATGAAAACATTTTCAAATAATATTGACTAAAAGTTCAAAAAAATATAATAAAAATCCATGTTTTCGAAAAAACACTATTTTCAGCCATTTCATGGTTTAAAAAGGCTATGTTTGAGTGAGTCGATTTAAACCAATTTATGCTTATCATCACAGGCACTTATTGGTCTCCAATAATCATGAATAAAATTGTTATGTATTTTTCTTTTAGCTGGGCTGTGGATGTATATGTCCACCTGTGACTATATCCATATTATTAACCATATATTATTAACCATATATTTCGAAAAAGCGTATTACATCTTTAAAATAACTTGACAGCCTTGAATTGACTTCTAATTCATTCTAAATAAAAATATAAAATATAAAAACCACATACAGTGGCGTCGAAAATTAACTACCCATTTATTTATTTTTTAAATTAAGAAAACAAAATCAAATGTACAAAAAATTAATTAAATGACTAAAAGACATACTTTTCATAAACTTTATATTTAAACAAAATATAACAGGTATTAAATCCTAAATTTAAATTAAACCTAACTGCATATAATTAAACTGAAGAAAATATATTCTTTACTTTTACAATCACCTAAAAAACCTATTTACTATTTTTTACCTCTAAAAAGTTGTATGAATCGGAAAATTTTTTTATGTGTATAATGTCTATCAAGATGAATAAATTAACGACTTATGGCCTTTAAATGGATCGCAGCAGACTTCACCAAAAATGTTGGTAAAATTATATAGATACTTTAATTTGTGATACCTACTTACAAATATCGGTTACAGTGGCATCCACTCGCCATTCTCTTCTTTTTAATAAAAATAAAGTTCTACTTTACTGCTGATTTCTTTTACTTTACTGCCGATTGTTGACTACTTTCGGCAGATTTCGGATAAAAATATTTTTTGCGATTTTCCAAGATTGAATCTTGTACTAAGGAGGAAAACAATTAATAGAATGGCGAGTGGATGCAACTGTAACCGATATTTGTACGTAGGTATCACAAATTAAAGTATCTATATAATTTTCCCAACATTTTTGGTGAAGTCTGCTGCGATCCATTTAAAGGCCATAAGTCGTTAATTTATTCCTCTTGATAGACATTATACACATAAGAAAATTTTCCGATTCATATAACTTTTTAGAGGTAAAAAATAGTAAATAGGTTTTTTAGGTGATTGTAAAAGTTAAGAATATATTTTCTTCAGTTTAATTATATGCAGTTAGGTTTAATTCAAATTTAGGATTTAATACCTGTTTAATTTTGTTTAAATATAAAGTTTATGAAAAGTATGTCTTTTAGTCATTTAATTAATTTTTTGTACATTTGATTATGTTTTCTTATAAGAAAAAAAAATTATAATTTAAAAAATAAATAAATGGGTATTTAATTTTCGACGCCACTGTATGTGGTTTTTATATTTTATATTTTTATTTAGAATGAATTAGAAGTCAATTCAAGGCTGTCAAGTTATTTTAAAGATGTAATACGCTTTTTCAAAATATATATATGGTTAATAATATGGATATAGTCACAGGTGGACATATACATCCACAGCCCAGCTAAAAGAAAAATACATAATAATTTTATTCATGATTATTGGAGACCAATAAGTGCCTGTGATGATAAGCATAAATTGGTTTAAATCGACTCACTCAAACATAGCCTTTTTAAACCATGAAATGGCTGAAAGTCAGGTGGGCATATTGTGTATTTTGCTTATAGCTGGGCTGTACATACAGCCACAGCCCAGTTAAAAGCAAAATACACAATAATTTTATTAATGGTTATTGGAGGCTAATAAGTGCAATAAGCATAAATTGGTTTAAATCGACTCACTCAAACATAGCCTTTTTAAACCATGAAATGGCTGAAAATAGTGATTTTTCGAAAACATGGATTTTTATTATATTTTTTTGAACTCTTAGCCAATATTATTTGAAAATGTTTTCATTGCTTTTATATAGAGTAAGATCTATGGTAACAAACTACATTAAAAAAATTTTGCTGGCAAGTTGTTCTAAGAATATATGAATTTATAAAATTAGACGATTTTGCCAAAAATTTGCATTTTTAAAAAAAATCCCAAAGACCATTTAGGGCATCAATAACTAAATGTGTCCTATATGCTTTAAAAGAGAAATATTTTCTTAACAATTAACAGTTTGTTTTATGTCGATAGCTTTATTTACACAAAAAGTACAATTTTTTTAAGTTAGGTCTGCATAGTAACTTTTGCGTAGCCCTGTATAAATAGTTGATAGGGGAAGAAAAGAAAAGGGGAGTTTTTTTCACTTCTTGGGCCCATGTCTATTTACAGTTAAAAAATAAATAAAATTAGAGTATATGAGGTGCACTCATCGGTGGCTAATAAATGGAATTACCCCATATACAGGGTGTCTCACCAGCGATGGTACCTTAGACGTTTACGGAGAACGGCTGAAGATATCAATTTGAAATTTTTATACCAACTATTATACAATTTAATCTACCTTTTAAAATTATTTTGAATAAAATTCCTCTTCTGGTTTAACCGGAAGCGACATCAACTTTGAAAAAACATACTTATGGTGTGTGTGTATATACACATTTATTTATATCAATTATTTTTTATTTACATTTAAATGTTTTTTTTTAAATCGTAATTTGGTTAAAAAAAAAACGGGCTGATTTGCGATTTTTATTTTCCGATATTTTGACTTCTAATAATACAATAAAACATACTCCGCAAGAAAATTTAGAGTTGCTTTCAACTTGCATTTAAATTACTTAAGCCCTACCGTGGATAGGTTTGAACAATCCGCCCACGACGAGTACCCATAATTTGGGCGACGTGGCCAGTCCTGACCTCGCAAGCCTAATACCACATAATGTGGATTACGTCGCTGACAGATACTTTCATTGTGTCGAAAAAACTACCCGTGAGGACACTGTAGGTAATACTTTTTGCATCTTATACAGAAAAAGGCGTGGTCCAGGACATATACTCCAGCTCTGAGTCTTAAAATGCAAATTCTCCTACAGTTCCTCACCTTACAGCGTAACTCGGCTTTTACAAGTCCAGCCTGATGTAATGCAGTTATTAACTCTCCATCTGACTTAGATGTAAGCTCATAAACATTATTAATGTTTTGAATATTCATTTTAAAATAAGTAGCAAATAGCACAAATAAATTGACACTACTTAATAGGTACCTAGGTATATCAATTAAATGACAACTGCAATAATGTCTAAAAACAAAATTTTCAAATTTTGATATTAAATTAAGTTCAAAAATTAATCCAATACCTAATATGTTGTCAAGACTTTTTACTAGTCAAATTTTGAATCACATCTTAGATATGGTATATTATGTTGGGGCTATTCAACAGATGTAGATAGAGTTTTTAAAATGCAAAAACGTGCGATTCGATGTATGTTTGGTCTAAGTTTTAATGAATCTTGTAAATGTTTTTTTATTAATGAATGTATTTTAACTGTACCCTGTATTTATATATATGAAATCCTAAAGTTTGTAAGGAATAATATGGACAAATTTAAATCGTTAAACATAAATCACACATATATGACAAGATATGGTTTTAATTTGCAACATGATCGTCATAGAATGAGCTTAGTCGAATTGAATCCATTATATATGGGTCCAGTACTATATAATATATTACCAGCTGAGTGGAAAGTTTTACCACTTAAAAGATTTTTTAAGTGTGTAAAAGAGTTTTTAATAGCAAATGCTTTTTATTCCATAAGGGAATTTCATATGTATGCTTTTTAATATCTATTTTATCTATTTATTATTTTAATCAATGCATTTTGTGATTGTATTATATTATATTGAGTGTTTATGTTTTTTTACTTGTTGTTTGTTTATGTCATTTATTACTGCTCATTATTTAGTACCTGCATGATACAGGTTGTATTTATATAATATATATATATAAATTATATTTAATATTTATATTTAATACTTTTGTAAAATAATTGTTAACTTGTCCTATACTCTGTTTTGTAGTCAAAAGGATTAATAAATTTATTATTATTATTATTATTATTAATATAAATATTTAATTTTAATAATTACATGTATAAGTATTTAATTAAATATACAAAAAAAAATATACAAAAGTGCTCTTTTAGTTCCACCCTTACTTCTTAAGAAGTCCCATAAGCCAACTGAATGGCTTGTGCGGGTTAGGGGTAGGAACGGACCGCGGGCTTAAAGTCCCCTCCGAAGGACAAACACAAATAAACAGCCATACCCCTGGTGGGATTCGAACCCACGACCTCCGGCTTGTAGTCAGCATGCACTAGACCACTAGACCACCGTCGGCGATAAATGATAAATGATAATATAATAAATTGAAATATGTTGTTATCTTGGTTGCCTAAAAAGGTACCGTTAATTAAGATAATTGAAAAGAATCGGATCTGAATTAGGATCCCGAATCTTTGTAATAATGTCCCACTAGCGGAGCGCAGCCTCACGCTCCAGTTAAGGCTTGGAAACTAGTGGGTAGTTGAGTAAAACACAATAGTCTTGTTAATACTGACTTTAATTATAAAATTGTTTCCTTATATACAAATGGGATATTTTATTTACATACTTATTTTACAAACTTCTTAATGTTAGAAGGTTGTATTTTGTTATGTTATTGCTGACGCGGTTTGTTCGCTTAGATGACCGAAGTAGGTCAATTAAATAATTATTGTTTAATTTTAAGATTAAACATCCTGCCAAGCCAGCAAAGGATCAGGGTGGGTAGATGACGTGGTGGCGCGAATCTCCTGGATTTTGGGATACAGTGGTTCAAGGGTCACTATTTCTTCTGGGTTTGTTGGTGTCTTCTTTGAAGTTCTCCAAATCTGTATTTGTTTTATTCCAAACCAAGTACTTATGATTAAGATTACCACTATAGAGCTAGTTATCACGCTTGTTATGGCGGAATGATGGTGGACATTATGCCAAGTATTTTCATCAAGGCTATCCTGGATCTCTCGTTCTTCTTTCATCAATTCTTCGATGTTTCCAAGGTTGTCTGACGGCCTGAGTACCAGTTCTTGTCCGGAATTGTGGTGGAGTTTAATATGACGTTTTGACGTTAATAACGTCAAGTTTGCCACCACCGGACGGGTAAAGCTGGACAACACAGGGATTTCTACTATCCGCTTCGGTGTTAGAACGTTCCTGCGGGTATTAAATGTGCAGCTTTTGGATACAGTAAGAATTCCTGTTCTATTCAGGGCTATGTCATTTCTTATTCCATTACATGTGACTGCTACTTTGGTGATTCCGGGAGTGATAAATAGCCAACTGTTGGCGTACATCTGTTTCGAAATTGCTGTATGAAATTTTTGTTCTTTAATCTCACATGTCGTGTTGTCGCTTCTTTGATATATTTCATCTTCTTCGTATCTGGCGGTCATGCTGACTATTTTTATGTTCGAATCTTGACTAGGATTTCCCCCGGACACTATCCATCCAAATTCCGTGTTTTGGCCAAGAAATCCATTTGCTGTTTTGTGCACTCCGTCCAGCAGTATTTTCGCCACTTCTTCAGCTCCTAGGAGAATGTCTATGGGTCCCATCTTGTTAAACGTTGGGTCAGCCAATACTTTGTTCTGCCATTGTTCCATGTCTATATTAAAACTTTTTTCAGGCAGTGTCCTTGTTAGTTTGGGTAGCACAGCTTAAATGTACTCGGGAATCTTGGGCTACACGTAAGTGTCACTTGTTGGCTTGATGTTTTTATGTCCCCATCTCCAACACCTGATAGGTCTGTGGATACCTTTTGCCTTGGAAGGGCTAATAGGGTTGCTGCTTCTTCCGTGATCAAGGATGTTTGAGAGCCTTGATCGATGAGTACTCGTGCATACTCTATACCTCCACTCACTGTTTTGGCTTTAATGAGTGCGGTTGCTAGTAGTACTATTGGACTCTGATTCCCCACGTGGTTGCAATAACTTATCGTATGTTAGTCTTGGCAAAAACTGCATACGATCTTATGCCCATGAAATGGCTGCTGCCTCTTGTTCTGTACTGCAATTGTCGCCGTCAATCTGGGACTGCTGGGTGTTGCCTCTAAGGATTGAAAACGGTTTCGCAAAAAGTTGATTTGATCTTCTAAACATTGAATTACCAACGGATCCTTGATAGAAGACTCATATAACCTGTTTGTTTCAGCATCCCATTTTTTCGAGATCAAACAGCTTATTATTGGACCCCATGAGTCTGTTTTATTCCCATCAGCTCAATTGCAGCCATGCATTTACTTATGGTGTCGTGGAGTTCTTGTAGTTTTCTAGCTGATTCATGGTGAATTGGCGGGAACTCCATCATTTTATTAAGTAACTTTGTTAATATTAACCTCTTATTATTATTGTACCTTTTTTCAAGCTGCTCCCATGCTGCTCCGTAATAAGCATTTGTTATGGGAAAATGTTGAATGGCACGCGCTGCTTCGCCTTTAAGGTGAGTTTTTAGATGCTGCATTTTTTCTACGTCGGACAAGCGTCGGTTGTTGTGGATTATTTGCGTAAATATGTCTTCGAAATTGGCCCATTCCTCGTAATTACCTCCGAAAACTGGAATCTGGACCTGTGGTAGTTTGATTGATGTGCTTCTATCATTGTCGCTTTCTGTTTGTTTTAACCTACGTATTTTTTGTCGTAGGTCACAAATGCGGTCTTCGCATTCCATTTCGATTAGTGTATACGTGTTGTTCGTGAAATACGATGCCTGACGTAGTGTGTCGTCGGCTCGGATTTCAAAATGTGCTGATACTATTACTTGCCATTGATTAATTAATTTTTCAGACAGAATTTCGTACCTATCTATAGTCTGGTCATGCGTCGTCAATTCTGTTCATTATTTGCTGAAGATCCTGTATGCGTTGCATCTGGTATTTTACTCGTGTATCTTCGTCTTCGCTGGATTCGTTAATATATGTTGTTGAGTCCTGAATGTACTTATAACAGTCCCGATACGATTTTTCGATTTGTTTATAATATTCTGATGTCCAATATTCATGAGATAATTCTTTGATTTTAATTATCTCGGCATGAGTTTGTTCCGCATTGGCCCAATGTTCGTTCAACGCCTCAGTGCGGCGTTTGAAGTATTCAGTTGACTTTCTTGAGGTTGAATCTTTCTTCATGTTGGTGTATAGTTGAAGGATGGCCTTCCCAGTGACCTGTTGTTTGGCCACCAGCTCGTTCATTTTTGGGTTTGTGTTCGTCATCTTAAGTTGTGTCGATTTGATTATTTTCTAGATATGAAACTGCACCACTTCTGGATTGGACTGGTACAATTTTAGGTTAGAAGGACCATGAAAAGAATCGGATCTTAATTAGGATCCCGAATCTTTGTAATAATGTCCCACTAGCGGAACGCAGCCTCACGCTCCAGTTAAGGCTTGGAAACTAGTGGGTAGTTGAGTAAAACACAATAGTCTTGTTAATACTGACTTTAATTATAAAATTGTTTGTATTTTATTTACATACTTATTTTACAAACATCTTAATGTTAGAAGGTTGTATTTTGTTATGTTATTGCTGACGCGGTTGGTTCGCTTAAATGACCGAAGTAGGTCAATTAAATAATTATTGTTTAATTTTAAGATTAAACATAATATTATATTATTATTCCTATATTTACCTAAAAATTTTGCCCATACTTCCGTAATTTCAATATTTCCTTTAATGTTTAGCATATTTCGGTATTTATTTTAATACAATATACATTTTTAATTACAAAATAATGTAATACTTTTGCCAATTTTAAACTTGGCAACATTGAAATACATGATAATCAACCTTAAAACACTAATTCTGTCATTTTAAATTATGATAGTTTAAAATTCAGTGCTGTACATAGAAAAGGTGACAGTTTTAAGCAAGGTTTGTTGAATTTAAAGCCTGAATTATAGATTGCCTTCCTTCCTTCCTCCCGTAGTCGTGCCCGTACGATTTCTGCGTCTTGTAAAAACTCAATTTATAGATTCCCGTGTAAAATTCCGTAACCATGCGCGATGACACCTAAAATGCTTGACATTTGTTATTGTTTATATTTTGCGTTTTACCCATTGTGCGTAAATATGAAAGATAAACATTTATATATTAGTGCAGTGGTCACAATTTTAATTGCCAAGGCAGCTTGTTGTATACTGCCCAACTATGGAGAAAGGCAGTAACTGCTAAACAAGAAATTTGTGGGAAATTAGCATAAACTACATTTTTATAAAAAGCAGTAGGTATTTAACTGATTAATTTAACTTATAAGATAGTTTACTGCATTTCTTTGTTGAATTAAGATACAAAATGTCCATAGCCAAAGCACAGGAAAACGCATTTAGAATTTTTTTGTATAGTAGGGCAGTATAATGAAAAAAAACATCGAACAAGACCTTGGAAGACTCGTCCACTTTACCAAGACCGGGAAACTACGGGGTTTTACAAAGCAACGTTTCTAAAAATGAAAGACATTGATCATAAACAATATCTAAATATTATTATTTAATAAACTGAACACCTACCTTAAATAATACTAAACAATCATGTATTTTAAATATTTTGTGCCTACGCGCTGTCACCCTACAGCGCATGTCCATAACAAGCACTGTGATTGGTCATGTCAAAGACCTTTACGGTGAAAGATAAAACTTAAAAATTTCTACGGGAGGAAGGAATGCCGTCCTTACGGTACGGGAATCTATAACTGGCACTACGATTTAAATAAACATTTTTGACGTAATTGTCACCATTAACATTGCCCGTTATTAATTTTAATTATACTTAACAATTATTGATACTTTAAAATATTAAAATAACTTCAAAATATGATTTTGTTAAAAAAATATTTTATTCTTTGATTTTTTTTATTACTATAATTGCAAAATATTAGCACAAAGTATTAAAAATTCCTACACGGGAAATGTTAATGGTGACAATTACGTAATGTTCATCTTCTACGGGAGGAAGGAAGGAAGGAAGGAAGGCAATCTATAACTCAGGCTTTAAGCATATATAAACATATATTTTGGTGAAAGTTTGGTTTTTCCGCACCTAAATATGCTTAAAATGTGGTTTTATATCCATTTGTGTCAAAAATTTCCAATAAAAATTGGAATTTGAGAGTGTGCTATTGTGTACTGGAACCTGCAATCGTAATGGGGCCCATCCCCTCCGCTAAATCTACGGCGTAGTTCTTGACATTCGCTTTACCGAGAACCGGTTTTTACAAAACAACGGCTATTTTATTAATTAAAATATTAAAAGCTCACACGGCCATTCCTGATCAGTAATTCGTTCTAGAATTACCAATTTTATTAAACCTATAACATTACCTGTAATTTCAAACGATTAGTTATGTGGAACCAACAAAATACGTAAGGTAAACAGACAAATTCAAAGCCAATCTTTCAACAAATTTTAACATAATATGTCATATTATGACAAAGCGCGTAGCTTTCAACCCAACAAATGCAAAGCGCAGAGCTTACAACATATTTCAAACATGTGGCAAAGCGCGTAGCTTTCAACCTAACAAATGCAAAGCGCAGGGCTTTCAACATATGCAAACATATGGCAAATGCGCGTAGCTTTCAACCTAACTTTTTTTTTATTTGGTAATCTTTTCTTTTCATTTTACTATTCATACTTGAAGCTCACACGGCTTATTTATAGTAAACAATTTACACAAAATTTCAGAATCATCAAATTCGCCTGGCCAAATCCTAAGCATTTCAACTGGAACTACCCTATTGCGGTTGGTTGCAAGATTTTTTAGTTCCACTCGATCGTTAGGCAAAAGTTGCAAAACTTCGAACGGCCCTTCATACTTTTTATCCAACTTAAGTTGGATAGATGAGAGTTACCAGATGAATGATAAACAAAATCTCCAATCTGTATTTCCTTGTTCGGTCGTAGCGTTCTACTTGTCCGTTAGCACGAGGGGCGCTCTTTGCTATAAAATGGGGTTGAATTTTTAAATTGGCCAATAACTCTTTTAAAGAATGGTCAGTAAAATTTGTTCCACGGTCGCAAATAAGCGATGCACTTCAAGCAGTGATCGCAATATTTTTTAACAAATCTGGTCATTTTAGGAAACCAAAAGTAGTGGTTAATCGAAGCAAACGTCTGGCCCTAAGTGACATTGTTCGTCATGAAACAAACGAAATAATAGGTATACTCGGCTGCCTTTGGGAAGAAAAGCTCTATACATAGGGGGTTTTGTCTTGGATTAATTTTCCTAAAAAGTATTTCCTTTGAACAGAAATATTCAGTTTGCCTTCTATTAATTGTGTTTTTATATATTTTGTGTTTCTGGATCCTTGCTTTGTGCCTTTTTAAGCCAATTATTAGTGGTTATTGAGTTCATTTTTACATTATTAACCTTTTTTGTTTCTATCGGATTTCTACTGAGGTAATCAACATGACTAATGTATTTACCTTTTCTATATTCAATTTCAAAATTAAAACTTTGTAGGTAAAGCCACCAACGTGAAATACGTGGAAGTCGATCTTTTTTGTTTTGTGCGTGTTTTATTTAATGCGCGATAATCAACACATAAGCGATTTTTACCGTCAGCCTTATGGACTAAAATTACTAGACTTGCATACGGAAATTGACTTTCTCG